CATTACTAGAAATTCATATTTGTTGTCACAAGTTTATCGTCTGCTTCACCATCCCCCAACTGAAGTGTGAGCTCCATGAGAACAGATACCTTGTTTCTTCAATTCCCAGAACCCAGAACACTATTGGGCACATAACTTCCTAGTCAAATATTTGCTGACTGAAGGAAGAAGTAAATAACATTAATGACCCAATTTTCCTTCTGTGTCATACACACACACAAACACACACACACACACACTTCAGGCCGTTATATATATGTAAGCCTTTCGAGAAGGGGTGTCTAGGTAGCTCAGTCAGTCAAGCTTCCTCTTGATTTCAGCTCAGGTCATAATCTCAGGGTTGTGAGATCAAGCCCCAGGTCATCTCTGTGCTGGGTGTGGAGGCTACTTAAGGTTCTCTGACTCCCTCTTCCCCTCCCCCTGCTTGTGGGCTCTCTCTCTCTCAAAAAAAAGGGGGGAGGGCGCCTGGGTGGCTCAGTCGGTTAAGCGTCTGCCTTCAGCTCAGGTCATGATCCCAGGGTCCTGGGATCAAGTCCTGCATGGGGCTCCTTGTTCAGCAGGGAGCCTGCTTCTCCCCTGCCTGCCGTTCCACCTGCTCGTGCTTGCTGTCTGTCTCTCTCTCTCACTCTGTGTCAAATAAATAAATAAAATATTAAAAAAAAAACTTTTGTGTAAACTGGTATTTCTAACATTAGACATCACCAGTGTCTTTTCTATCTATTCTAGAATGTGGTAACCAGTCTTTAAAATGCAAGCCGCATATTTGACATTTCATTTTATGTAGGTATACCCTGAAGGGAACAAGTTTATATTCCTACTCTGGCCCAAAGTGTAGCAAAGTATAATTATTTATATGGAATTTTAAAATTGCCCTGTATTTCTTTAAAACCAAACTGTGGGCTTTCATATGGGAAATTACACTCATTCAAAGTAAAAGTCTGGACATTGAAGTCTCTAAAAAATTGTTCCAAGTATTTCATCACATACTTTTCCCAGTCTAAGAATGTTTCAAGGTTCATTCTCTTCATGGTTGGTTATCTATCTGTCCAAGCCAAAATACACAGGGCTTAAAAGGCAGGACCATATAGCAGCACAAATGCGATTTCTCTGGCTCTTCTACCTATGCCACCCCAACCTCCTTCAAAGTCAAACTTCTAACCACAGTTGGGCTCATGAATATAGATCATTATTTTTGAGGCGTGTCTGCAGTGGACAGCTGGAAAATGACACAAAAGTGACACAAAAGTGCTGCATTCCCACTGACGACAGAAGTCCTTCTATGCCAAGTTCAACTGCACCTGTTCTAGTGACCCCAAATGCTGATGTATGCGTGGGTACTGACATGCCCCTTGGGATGTTGTCTGATGAGGCACATAGACTGTTCTTCCACTCTTTGTCACACTCTGATGTTCTGAGGCCAAGGCAAATAAAGTCTCACAGAGATCTCAGCAAAAATAGCTATTTCAGATTTCACTCAAAGTGCCCTTTCCATAAAATCTGTACATGATCTGCGGAATCAGCAGCAGAACCTGGGCAGACCCTCTGAATCATCCTTCACTGTGATGAGGAAGCCTGGACCTCCTCTCTCTTTTCCCAGAGGAGGAGTTCTTTCTTTGGAGGCTTCCCCTTCTCCGGGCAAATAAGTGCTGACTTCTTCAGCCCACGTAACCCTAAAAATGTCCAAATCCATGGAGAACACATAGTTCCTAAGGTGCTTCTTTAGAGTTAATAATCAAAATAAAAATAATAACTATAGGTAATATTTTTTTCACACTTAACATGGGCTAGGCACAGAGCTAACCACTACCTTCTGGGAAATTGAGGTTTGGAAAGTTTAAAAACTTGTCCAAGCTTACAAGCTAGGACTTGGGGGAGTCAGCAATTGAATGTTGACAGCTATGCCCAGAGGCCATGCTCTTAACCAATACACTGTATTGTCCCTTATCCTAGAAGTAATTATAAGGTTTATAAAATTCTACCCTGTTGAAGAGAAGGTAAAACAAATTGAGGAGCTATAGATGTTTATTCTTCCTTATTTTAATTTAACATATTGTTTAATAATCTGTGTATTAGTTATTTATTGCTGCATAACAAACCACTCCAAAATGTAGCTACTTAAAACAACAAACATTTACTACCTCTCTCAATTTCAGAGGGTCAGGAATCTGACTGAGAGCCACTTAGCTGAGTGGTTCTGGTTCAGGGTCTCTCCTGAGGTTGCGGTCCAGCTGTTGGCTGGGGATGTAGTCATCTGAAGACTCAACTGGTGCCTGGCTGGCTTTGTAGTAGAACATGCAACTCTTGATCTCGGGGTTGTGAGTTCAAGACCCACGGTGGGTGTAGAGATTACTTAAAAATAAAATCTTAAAAAGAGAGAGAAGAGAGAGACTCAACAGATGCTGAAGTTGTCACTAACAAGCTCCCTCACATGCGGGACAGAGGGCTGCAGTTCCCATTGGTTGTTGACAGTAGCCTTCATTCCTCATCTCCATCTGGGCCTCTCAAAGGGCTACTTACTACATTACAGCTTGATTGTCCAAAAGAAAAAGAAAGGGAGGAGGGAAGAGTGAAGAAACAAAGAGGAAACACTCAAGATGGAAATCTTGTAAAACGTAATCTCTGAAGTGATGAAACATTACTTCTGCTCTTTTCTATTGGTCATGGAGACCAATCCTGGTACAAAGTGGGTGGGGCCGACGCAGGATATGAATATCAGTAGACAGGGATCACTGGGTATCATCTTGGAGACCAGCTGCCATGTCTGCTAGCATTTTAATCCATTTAAACTGGGGTTCTAACCCCGAATCTGCTATCTGCCATGTAAATCAGTTTTACTTTCTATTATTTATAAAATAGGAACATCCTAAACTCAGAATCTTGAATGTTGGAGGGCCTCAAGTAACTGATTCTCTCGGAGTCTAAGTTCAATCTCTCTTTTAAAAGAAGCAACTTCAATAATAATAATAATAATAACATTCAGATAGTAATCACTGCCCCACCTAGAACTGGGAGACACTGCTCTTTGCTCTTTGCTTTGTGCACACGGACAAGCGGTTTTTGACGAAAGGTTTCTTTTCTTAAGATCTGCAACTTCTGCCATAACCTAATGAATTGTTTTTGAACTCTTTCAGGAGTGTTTTCTGATGTCCTACTGATGTTTCTTAAACTAAGACTTTTTCACATTGTTTGGTCTGGACACGGGTCAGCATTCTTCCCATAGAAGCTTTCGTTTATTTTGAAATATTGAAACAATTTTGAGAATTGATACAAGAAACAAGTTTATTTTCAAGAAGCTTGGTTTTCCTTTTCAGTTAGTTCCAGAAAAGGACTGTTACTTGAGATAAGATTTCAGAAAGGATTAAGTGTATTTCTGAAGGCATAGTCAGCCATCTTCTGAGGGCAGGAATATTGAACAGCAAGTATAAACAAAATGACTAATACCTGTGTTAACATTTTTATCTTAATTTTTAAAAAATTCTATTATATTTTAAGGAAATGTTTATATTTCCCTGCGTAAAACATGGTGGCTTGCCCTTCTTTATTTTTACTTTCAATTTAGAATATAATCACTATTAAATAGTATTTATCCAATAGATCACATTTAAAAATGTACATTTAGCTCTCCATCACTAAACCACTGTTATTACAAAGAGGAATACGCTGCAATGTTCAATTTGGCAGCCCTCACTCTTGAAGGCTTTGTAACAGTGCTGTCCAATAATATAGCCACTAAAGCTACATGCGGCTACAGAGCACTTAAAATGTGGTTAATACAAACTGAAATGTGCTATAAAATACAAGCTGGATTCTTAAGATTAGTGGAAATGAAAAGGATGTAAGACTAATGATTTTTTACATTAGAATGTAAAATATCTCAATAATTTCTATATTGATTACATGATGAAATGATAATGTTGGATATATTGGATTAAATATATTAACATTAATTTCATCCATTCCTCTTTCTTAACATATAGGGTTGCCAGATAAAAATACAGGACACCCAGTTACATCTGAATGTCCTGTGTCCCTGCTTATGTTTTAATACTACAAAATTACTCCTTAACTGAAATTTACATTTTAACTGGGTTTTTTATATTTTTTTTTGCTAAATCTGGTAACTTTTAATATGACTACTAGAAAAAATTAAATTACAAATGTATTCTCTTGGACAGTGAGGCTTTAGAATTATCTAGTTTTTTTGTTTTGTTTTACCAACTATTGAGTTAACTGGGCAGAAATGCCTAATCTGAGGGAAACGTTTAATCCTAGACTGGAATCGACAATACTCTTCAAGTTACATTTTTACATTTGTTTTAACAAGTTAAAGGCCAACAAATGGGATTTGTCGCAGACCAAAGTATGGAAAGCGCATTTGGATGAGAATTAAAAAATCAATGCTCCCAGCTTCTCCATTGGGGTAGTTAACGGTTCCGGTTTCAAAATAATCCCGGCCACTCTCAAAAGGATGGGTGGTGTCGAGGGCAGCTAATTGGCAGTGAGACTCTGGGTCAGTCACAGTCTCTCAGTAAAAAGTTGGCGGGGGGGGGGGCGGAGGGGGACGGTATTTTTAATACTTGAGCCTCGCACTCCGCTCTTCCACACGTCCCCTCCCCTGGCTCCGCGCTGGGCCAGCGACCTTGGCCTCAGACGCCGGGGCTCCGAGTCTCGCTGCCTTCCTCAGCCGAGCCAGGGCTACCTGGGCTGCAAGCTGGAGGCTGGGCTCGCCGAGGATCGTCCAGAGCCGGCCAGATCCCGCGCCAGCTACCCCGCGCTAGCCCCAGGTGCGCTCCGCGGCCCGGGCCCGGGCCTGCCCGCCTCCACCGCCGTCACGCACAGCCCCAGCCCCGCCCCCCCCGCCCCCTGTCCCCCGATGGCAAGCGCAGCCCAGTCCCAGAGCCCGCCCAGAGCCTTGAGCTCTATCTAAGGCCGGTCACTGGGGCGGCGAGAGCTTGTGAGCCTGCTCTAAAGAAGATCTTTCGGCGGCCCAGCATTCGGTCACAAGGCGAGGGCCCGCCGCGCACGCGCACGCTCACGCCCCGCCTCTGCCCCCGCCCCCGCGCGGCGCTGCGTCCTTCGACCCCGGGCGGCGCGCCGCGGGCAGCTCCAGGCGGCATGCGGGACTACGACGAGGTGACCAGCTTCCTGGGCGACTGGGGGCCCTTCCAGCGCCTCATCTTCTTCCTGCTCAGCGCCAGCATCATCCCCAACGGCTTCAATGGAATGTCAGTCGTGTTCCTGGCCGCCACCCCGGAGCACCGCTGCCGGGTGCCGGACACGGCGAACCTAAGCCGCGCGTGGCGCAACCACAGTGTCCCGCTGCGGCTGCAGGACGGCCACGAGGTGCCTCACAGCTGCCGGCGCTACCGGCTCGCGGCGATCGCCAACTTCTCGGCGCTCGGGCTGGAGCCGGGGCGCGATGTGGACCTGGAGCAGCTGGAGCAGGAGGGCTGCGTGGATGGCTGGGAGTTCAGCCAGGACATCTACCTGTCCACCATCGTGACCGAGGTGGGTATCAGTCCCCACGCCAAGGCCGGGGACCGGAACGTGGGGAGGACCTTCGCACTCCACCCCACAAGGTGCACGCTGGATGCTGCCCCTCTCTCCCCCAACACACTACACACCTCAGAGTGGGCGTCCTGCAAGCACCACTTGGCGGAGTGACTTTTAACCAGACCATTCCCCTCATAGCACGGGTGTCCTCCTGGCCACCTTGAAGAGGGAGTCAAAAAGGCTGTCGTGGCCCCTGGTAGCTACTCTACGACTCTGAATATAGTCAAAGACTTTCTAGATGGAGGTGGGAGTGTTGAATGGAGCAGAGCCAGAGCTTGGGCCACTGGGCTGTCACAGTTTTTCCTCTAGTCTCTTGGCATCTGTTCAGAGAGAGAAACACTCGTCTACTTTCTTGAAGAACTTTTAAAGCTAAAGGAAGCATGTGTATAAAATTGTCACAGTCTCCCTTCTCCAGTTACTTTTTCCTCACCCACCCTCACCCCAAAATGGCAATCTGGTCATACCCTATCAGGAATTGTTTACCTTTTGCTTATGGTTAATTATCAGAATTTTAGGGCCCATGCATCTGAAGAGCCATTTAGGGTGACTTGTTGGCCTGGGATGTTTAGAGTATTCGAAGGCAGTGTCGTTGGTCAGATTTACCTAAAGCATACAACTTTTTTCATAGGAATTGTGTGGGGGGGGGAGTGGGAACTTCTCATTCCGCAACCCCTTGGATTTTCCTTTTTGGGTGGCTTTGTCTGTCCCCTGGTGACCCTGCAGCCATTGGAGCTAATATGTATGGTTTGTACGTGTGCTTTGCATCTTACTCAGATGCTGGAACTCTCACTCTCTGGAGTCTCAGCAGAAATGAGCTAGCAGAACGGTGAAAAGAGTCCTCTACAAGCACCAGTTTCTCAGAGGTCAGGATCAGAGATTCACAGATCGGGAAAGCTTCCTGGAGGTGGCAGCCTGTCTGAGTCTGGGGTGTTTAGCTCTTCAGATGGAAAGACGGGAGCAGCAGGCAACAACCTAGAAGGAGGGAAAGGGCTAACAGGTAGGGCACACAGGTCCTGGCATGGCATCAAACCCTCCTGGAGACAGGGGTCCTGAGGCCCCTCTTATGTTTCTTCTGGGGGTGTCACCCTTCAGGGGAATTAATCACTGCTCCGAGACTCATTGTGTGTGTGTGTGTGTGTGTGTGCGCGTGCGCGCGCGCACGTGCTTTCTCTGTTATGTTTGGACTAGCATGTGTGCCTCCTTACTCCCACATACATGTAGTAGGAGTGTGATCTGAGTCCCACTGGGATCTTTCAGCTGGTGACAATGTCCTTAGGCATTGTTTTGCCTCACAAGCTGTCTGTCACACTCCTGGAAGCCAGTGAGAGTTGCAGAAACAGAGACTGTCCCTCAGGTTGCTGGCAGAGGCCACCAAGGAGAAGTCATACTTCATGACACAGGAGTCCCTGCAAATTCTGCTTCCGGCTGCCCATGGAAGGGGAAGACAGTGAAGTCAGAAGAAGCTCATGGCATCTTTTAGGGTTTTACCCTGACTTCTAGGTTCCCTTGGCTTACCCTAGTCATTTGCTCTTGCTTCACTGCCCCCGTCCTGTCTTGGGCTGAGGCTGGTGGTGGCACTGATGAGCTCCGAAAGGTCGGCTCTAATGGAAGGGTCCTTGAGCAGTGACGACGTAGCTGCTAATGTCAGTCTTTCCTTTTTTGTATTTAGCCTATTTATTTAGCTGTCTTAGCAGTTTCATAAGAGCTGTGTGCCCTTTTACCTACTTATAGATAGTCAGCCTTTGCAGGGAGGCGAGGTTAATACATTACTTAGGCTTTTGTTTTGGGATGCCGGAATGCCTGACTCTTAAGTTCGAGGCTGCTTGTCCCTCCCAGGTGAATGGTCACTGTTGGAAATTACTGCATTAACATTCTGATTTTCTTTGAACCCGGACCTGGCCCGCTGACCACTGCAGCTAGTCCTGTGTCTGCTGAATGTTTCAAGCCTGCCTTCTGCTCCGGATCATAAATAGAGGTGTTTATAAGTACATTGGTATTGAATTCTTCTTTGTTTTTCAACAGAAGATGAAAACTATAGGTCTCCTGTTTGATTTTTTTTTCTTTGTTGAAGTATGTACGTGTAGTACTAAACTTTGTGGTAGTTTTACATCTCGGCATCTCCCTGACATCATGCCAGATACAGACGGGGGTACCTAGGGAAATTTTTGTTGAATGTATTAATGAACAATTTAAGAAATGTTGTCTAAAGTTTTGAGAGCTAAAGAAGGAAAGGACAGTTTAAATCATAGAAAGGAAACGTGGGGCTGGTCAAAAAGCATAGACTGAAATATTTTAAAGAAAATGTAACCACCCAGCCCACAAACTGTGGCTTGCCCCTATATGGATCTGCAACAAGGTGTTGGGATTGGCGGAGAGGAGGTGACACTATGGGGTGAAAGGGAATGTTTTGGGAATAGTTTGGTCGTCCCCGTGCTTCTAGGCTGGCCCTTCCCCAGCCCCTCATTCATGCCTGGAGTACTAGAGAATCAGCCATCCCACCTGGCTCCAATCCCTGAATGCTTCTTGGCCCAGGACTGTCCCCTCCTCTGAAACCTGGGTGATTTCTCGGGCTGCCTGGGCTGCCTGGTTTTAGGTGTCTCCCTGGAAAGATTCTTTTAAAAACTTATAGCTCTTCTGGCACCCATGAGTTGGGGCCCCTTCATCTAAGACCTGGCAGTTGTCTATGTCCCTTGCTTCTCTCCTTTCTCTCCTTCTCTGAAGCCTCCTCCCCCAGCCCATAGCAATATTCTTACTCACTCCTTGTCCCGGAAAGCCTCTTTCTCTGGACTGTCTTTTCTGTCAGTCTTCTCTCATGTACAGATAATCTTGGAAGATAGGAGAGCTCCCACTGTGATTACAAGCCCTCGTGAAGGAACGTGGGAGTCAGGGCTGGGCTGACTCCTTGTGGAAAGACCTGGAGCGTGTGCCTCACTGTTAAGTCTTTGCTGTCTCACTTAAGGGAAACGCAGACCCTTAAGGCCTTGCCTTCAGAGCTCATGGCAAGCCAGAGAAATCACTTGCGGGGTCCCTGAGGCCCCTGTGCACACATGGTCATAGCAGACACATCTGGCTGTGAATATTCAGATGGAGCTCCACTCTAGCTAGCTGAGAACCAACAGCCTGGGTCAAGGTTCTTAGAACTGACACAGGGAAGAGGGTGAAGGAACAAAAAAATTAACAAATAAAATCTATCCTAGAGATTGAAGTTCAGGGTTCATCTGGGTTTTGAACAGCCAAGCCTCAAGTCCAAGCCCAAAGGATACTATCGTATTGAAAGTTAAGAGCTCTTTTATTCATCTCTTCCCTCACTCACCTATGTACCAAACAGCCTCTCCTCTGCAGGGCTCGGCCAGGCATTCTAGAGGATATAGCAGCAAATTCTTTGTCTCCTTGCCCTGACCACCTTGGGGCAAGGATCTGCCATTAACTGCAGCAGCGGGCAGGACAAAATGTGTGTAGGAAGACATGGCATTCAGTCACAGCTGGTGCTTATCAGGGTGTTCCACCATCGATGCGGTCAGGCCAGGTACATCTCTGGGAAGAGCTTCTGCCCTATGGGCACAGACCCTATCTTTTTTTCCTTCCAGCCAGTTCACAAGGAAGAACATTTAGTCCCAGGGAACTACATCATCTCTCTCTATCTCATAACTGAGAAGGAGCTCTAATGAGATAGCGTGTACAAGAGACACAATTCTCTCTCTTCTTGAAAATGTTAACAGTTTTATTGAGGTGTAACTGACATAAAATAAATGGCACAGAAGTGAAGTGTACAATTTGAAAAGCTTTGAGAGAGAGAGAGAGAGAGTTCCATGAAATCATCACCACTAGAGAGGCACATTTCTGACCAGGAAGGATGGCAAGTAGAGGTCCCTTGCCAGAGTGGCTCCCAGATTTTTTTCAGGTGTTGCCCACTCTCAAAGCTCACCCAGCTGAGGGGTCACAATGCTAGACTCATGACTTGAATCCTAAACTCATACATTTAGTTCTAACTCTGAGACTTGTTATTATCAGCCAGTACAGCCCATCCCACATAGCGAGTGGAAGCATCAGTGAGCTAGTCTGTAGCTGCTTTAGTCCCGGCTGGGGAGCCAGGAGCTCAGTAAAGGAACACTAGATTCCTTTGCCTATGCAGCAAGCCTTGGGTGCATAGTTTGGACTCCATGGGCTTCTCATCCTACCCCAAATCCTGGCCCCACTGCAATCCATTTGGTGGTTGACAGTAAGTGAGTGTCTTGGCTGGGTAGGATCTGGTCACTCATGTTCATTTTTTGAGACCTATTATCTCTCCTGGCCCTAACCACAGGCTCCCTGTGGCCAGTGGGAATGAAGTGTTAACTCACGTTGCTTTCGGAGGGCCCAAAACCAGGTACTGAGGATTGTTAAGAATCACCAGTGGTGGGGGCGCCTGAGTGCCTCTGTTGGTTAAGTGTCCGACTCTTGATTTCTACTGAGGTCATGATCTCAGGGTCATGAGATCAAGCCCCACATTGGGCTCTGCACTGGGCATGGAGCCTGCTTAAGTTTCACTCCTTCCCTCTCCCTTTGCCCCTCCCTTTCAAAAACAAACAGACAAACAAACAAAAAAAAACAATTGTCAGTGGTGGATAGAGAGCCCAGTTTGCCCAGAGTAAGGACAGGCTGGACCCAGTGGTGGGATTGAGGCTGCCAGCCCTGGAGAGATGCTCTGGGAACCTACCCCAAGATGAGCATGACAGAGACCTTGTCTGCTGCAGAGCATAGTCTGTCCCGGTTTTGGGTAGCACCCAGAATTCCCTACCAGCCTGTACTAGGGGACCTGACGTTGTCAGGGGCGGGGACTGTAGAAGCCCCTGTGGGTTTGTAGTCCAGCTGAGCTACATGAGTCCCCAGCCCTCGTGAGAGTCCTGATGAGAAGCAGCTACTGACCCTTTCTTCAGTTTTTCATCTCTGTTGCTACAAAAATTAATGCATGCTGGCTGGAAGTGGGTCTCATCATAGTAGAGTGGTAGCTATAATCTGACCTGGAAGCTCTGCCTAACACTCTACCTAACACCAAAGGCCGATACCCCATCACCACGTCCCCCAGCTCTGACTCCCTGGCCACTCCCATCCTGACTTTATTTATTTATTTGTTTGTTTGTTTATTTATTTATTTATTTGACAGAGAGGGAAAGCACAAGCAGGGGGAGGGGCAGAGGGAGAAGCGGGCTCCCCACTGAGCAAGGAGCCAGACATGGGGCTCCATCCCAGGACCATGGGATCATGACCTGAGCTGGAGGCAGACGCTTAACCCACTGAGCCACCCAGGCGCCCATCCCATCCTGACTTTAGCAGCCATGTCTGTATGGGGGCTGCCCTAGGAGCACTCACCCTTCTAGAAGAGAGTTGGTGTCTAGGTGCTAGCACCACTGAGGCTGCAGAGGTGGGAGGGCAGCTGTAGCCTGAGTACTCAGGCATTGGTGCTCCAATATTCTTGCCTCCTGCTAATCTGAACTGTCTCTAGATTTGAGTTTGAGATCTCTACCTCTTCCTTGTGGAGATTCTCAGCCCATCCAAGATTTATTCCAGAATGAAGAGCCAGCTATGTGGCTAAGTGATCCTTACCATCAGCTGCGGGGGTTCTTCATGTCCACCCTGGGGACTGCTTCCCACCCCTCTCAGGTGCCCGGAGGCTCTGTGCACACACCGCCCAGCAGGGAAGCAGACTTGTTTTTCTCTCTGTCACTGGCCTGGAAGAAATGCTTTCTTGGAAGCTGCACATTCCCCCTGCCTCTGTGACTGGGGAGCCAGCAAGCTCCACAGAGTATAGGCCAGCAGCCTGGCACCAGGCAGGCCAGGATCTGAATTCTCTGGAGGGCAGCCTTCTTCGTGATTACTGAGCACCATCTCTCTGTTCTGGGAAACATTTTTCTGGGAACCACCAAGCTTCTTGTTTTGGCTTTTCTTCCCTTTTTTGGCTCCTTGTTAGGTTGGGGTGACCCAGCATCTGAATGTTCAGCTGCTTCCCCCTGCCTGCAGACTTCTTTTCATGGGAACTGCACATTGAGAGCTGGAAACTCGGGCAGTGCACCCTGTTCCGACCCCCATCCCTGTTTTATACTTGGGAGAAAAGGCAAAATGGGGGGGAAATCTTGTCTGATGTTGGATAACCAGTTAACAGTGAAGTAGAAGCTAAACCCAGTTTCTTGACTCCCAGTTCAGGGCTCTTGGCTGTAACTGGGCCTAGTGTTGTGGTCACAGCATCAGTGATCCCAGCTGTAAATGTCACCTGAGTGTCCCACGGCTCATTGGCTCAGAGTGGGGGCCCAAACAGAACTGCAAGAACAGATCCAGATGGTGCGTCCCAGGCCCTCTGGCCTCAGTCCCTTGCTAGATGCCTGGACTCTTAGAGTCCCAGAGCCGTGCTCTAGAACCATTCCTGTGCCATTCCTGTCAATGGCCTGAAGCCCACTGAAAGGGTACCCTGCCCCGTCCACAGCCCTGGGCTCCCCCTGGATCCTTAGAAGCAACCATGGAAGGCCTCACCTTCTCCTGGACTGACAGATGGGCACTGTCCTTGTTCCCTACCTATCCTCCCTTCTCCAATTGGTAGCAAAACAATGGAGCTGAAAGCTATGAAAATCAGGATGGGAGGGGGCCCACTCTCCCTGTGAAGGGGGGAGCTCTCTGCTTTGCTGTCCACACAAGCCTTTGCCTGCCTGCATGAGCTCACATACCCATGCAATAATGTAAACAGAGCTTGCAGGGATATAGGATATTCTCATTTCATTTCCCAAGAGGCCATATATTTAAAACATTTAACAAAAGAAGTGAGTGATACATCTCTTTGCTCCCCTTACAGTGGAACCTGGTGTGTGAGGACGACTGGAAGGCCCCACTCATGGTCTCCTTGTTTTTCGTGGGTGTGCTGGTGGGCTCCTTCGTTTCGGGGCAGCTCTCAGACAGGTAAGGTGGGTGTCTCTCTGCTGCAGCTGCAGGGGACTACAGCACCAAGCAAGGAGCACGTATGTGCCTGACTCTTGACTTCAGATGGTAGTGCTCTCTCAGCACAGGGCCTTGTGTTTTAGAAGGAGAGGAAGCAGTGTCTATAGTATAGATTCCATACCAAGTAAAGACAGCCAACAACCTTTTCTTCCTCATTCTTGCTGAGCAGAACAACCTGAGCTAAGTGTATCCATAATCCAGTTGACCAGGAAATATGTCATGATTCACTTCTTGTACCAGCCTGTTGGCCTTCCCTAGGTGACACTTTTATGGGAGAGGTAGACACCACACACACTCAGATGAACTTTGTTGACGATCTTAAGGCATCCCGTGAATGGCCACCTCTGTATTCCCCAAACCGTCATTCTCTCTGCATGATGAGAGGAGATCTTACTGGCCAGCAGTTGTGTAATGGGCAGAACTCTTGTGTTCACAGGGCTGATGCCCCTTAGCTTATAGCTTATAGTACCTACTTGACAGCAAGCAAGACATGTACTGTTTTGACCTATAAGCAGGGTATTTATATAATTCCAAGGCTTTTAACTCAAGTTCCTTTCGTGGCTTAAGGAGTTCATCTACTCTTGAAATTATATGCAAAATTTTAGAGATTGTATATGAACATTTTTTTTTCTGGAGAAAGGTCCATAGTTTCCCTGAAGTTCTCAGAGGGGTCCATTATGTGGTATCTTCCTACCCCAGGGCTCCAGGGTCTGTTGGAGAAGCCCATGGTGAGAAGAGTAGCCTTCACCAAGGTCCTTGGCTACTGGATCACCCAGTGGAGTCCCAGCATCCTCCTAGCTGGTTGGGGTCTAACAGAGAAGTTCAGGATGAGAATGTCATCCTACTTTAAGAACAAACTTATATTATCCCGGAGCACAAACTCAGGTGATGTCCTGGCATGTTTATAGATTATTGTCTTTACCTAAGAATCCATTCCTCATGAGAAGTATATACATTTCTCACTAGATTTGTGTTTCCCAAGTGTCATCTAGCCATTAGAAAAGTGACAAATTCTTGCAGTCACCAGTGAGCATTTAAGAGTCAAGTAGGCCATGACCACTGATTGACAATTCTAGACAAGCCTGAGCCACGTGCCCTTTCAGGGGAAAGACCTTTGCTTCCCGAGATCCTTAATCTAGCAGCAAGCATCAGTTGATTACTTATATTTACCTAACAAACATATAGCACCTAATATATGCCAGCCACTCTTAATAAGCACTGTACAAATTTAAAAGAAAGAAAAACAAATAATCCCATAATAACCCTATGAAGTAGGAAGTATTATTACTCTCATTTTACAGGTGGGGAAAATGAAACCCAGAGGAGTTAAATGACTTGCACAGTCCCAAAGCCAGCAAGTGGCAGAGGTAGGATTTAGGCCCAAAGAGTCTTGACCCTCTGTTCTCGGGCCATGCTCTCCTAGAACTTGCCTTCTAGCAAGGCAGAATGTATTAAACAACTAATTGAAGGGTATACTTGTCCTTCATGGTGTATGCAATACAGAGAAGAAGTACAGGATGCTAAGAGAGGGTCTGATGGAGGAGGCCCAGAGAAGCCGCCCTGAGAAGGTGAAGTATGTGCTGGGAGTGGAAAGAGGAATAGAAATCAGCCAGCAATAAAGGGGTGGAGAGACGAAGAAGCATTGTGGGCAAAAAAAGCTGTACTTAATTAAGCCTCGACTCAAGAAGAGGCGGCTCACTTTAGAAACTGGAAAAAAGTCTTCTGGGGTGGAGGTGTGGAGAGTGATAGAGAGGAAGCGGGTGAGGCAGACGGAGGCCCAAGCAGAAGAGCAGGCCGGGCTTAGCTGATGATAGGTAGGAGTTTGTGCTTTAGTCACAGAGCAGTGGGGAGCTATTGAGAGTTTTATAAAGCAGGAGTGCGGTGTAATCAGATTTATATTTTTTTAATGACTATCTGATAACTTTGCAGAGAAAGGATTGAAAGGGAGAAAGAGGGGTTGTGGAGAGACCAATTAAGAGGCTGTCACAATAATTTATGTGGGAAATGATGATGGTTTGGACTAGGCTGACAGTGGTAGAAACGGAGAAGAGACGTAGGAGATCCAACCAACAGGACTTGGCTGTGGGTTGGATGTGGGAAGTGAGGGAAAATTTCGGGCCTATGCAGCCGAGCTGATGACGATGCCCCTCTCTAAGACAAGGAACTCTGGAAGAAGATCATGTTTGTAGGGGAAGATGCAGAGCTCAGTTTGAATGTACTGAATTTGGGGTGACTATGAGAGTCCTAAATGGATGAAATGAGCCTGCAGTTGGATGTGTGTCCCTGGTGTTCCATGAAAGGTGTAGGCTGGAGATATACATTTGGGAATTGTCAGCTCCATAGGACCCTCAACAAAGCATCCAGAGCGTGGAAGAGATTGCCCGGAGAGAGTGTAGAACGAGGAGGGGCTGCCCAGGACAGAGCTTTGAGACCTTCCAGGTGGGCTGCTGAGAGATCCCTATCACAGGGTTGAGTGGCAGCTGAAAGGAATTTCCTTGATGTGAAAATCAAGGAGGAGGTGCCCCAAGTTCAAAGTTGAAACTCAATGCATTTTTCTGGGTCAGCTCTGTCATGGGTTAGGCAGACCTTTGTGGGCTAGCCTGAGAACCTGATTACCATGAACACGGTGATTGCCTGAGGAAAGTGTTTCATTTCCACAGATCTGATCCCAAGGAAACACTAGAAGCAAAATTAATGAGTATGTTGAGGACCACTTTAGTCTTCTGAAGGACAAGTACAGTGTTTTACAAACCCTCTAGAAATCTCATCAGCAGACTTCTCTTAAGTAGGGCATCTAAGTCAAGTAAATGAAGTAGCTAAAAGTGTGGCTGTTCTGGCTGAGGCCCTCCCTTCAGCTCCCAGCATCACCCCACAAGCTTGGCGACACCCCCATGGAAGGTACCGGGTTCCATGGGATGGACAGTTTCTGATCTCATTACTTCTAAGTAAGCTGGCTCAAAAACCTAGGCCAAACAAATGACCTCAGCAGAAGATTCATACCTCAACTTGTCTGGGATATCCACAGTCACTTTTCGTTTAGGGCAAAGATCAATAAGCCTGAAATTCAAGAGCAGTGAAAATAATCCTAGGCGGTCACCACATTTTATCTGACCTTACTGAATTACCGTTTTGTGCATGAATTACAAGAGGGGCATAGCCCTGGGAAGAGGTAGACTGGTACTTACTGTTTTTGTAAGCACATGTGTGGTTGACATTTTGTTGACAAACTTTAAAAGTGAGCATTTCTGAGCCCAACCCCAGACTGGGTTGCTAAGGACTGGTGCTATGTAAGGATTCACTGGGTCTGTCTTTTCCTTACCATCCATCCCAGGGAGCCCATGGGAAGGGAAGGCGTGGGGAGCAGTCATACCTGTCTCCCTGTAGGAAGGGACCTTCCCTTGATTGGCGTGTTGGGCACTCTTGTTATAGAATAATGCAGGGAAACTTGGTCTCCTTCTAGACAGGGTTTCTCAACCTTGGCACTGTTGACATTTTAAGCCAGAGAATTCTGTGTTATGGGACACTATCCTGGACATTTTAGGATGTTTAGAACGTCTCCAGCCTCTACCTACTAGATGCTAGTAGCACCAAAAACAAACAAAAAACCTGTTTCAGGGGAGAGAAGCGTCAGACTCTTTAACGTGGCAACAAGGCCTTTTGCAGCTTGGTCCCCACCCAACCCCTGCAGTCTGATGTTGAACAGCTGACGCCAGTGACGCTGGCTGCTATCTGCGCCTGTCTTCATGCCCCCTCCAGCCGCGCTTGTGTGTGTTCTTCCCAGCATTCCCCAACCACTCCCTTGACCTTCCTTGACCATGAAGGCTAACTCAGGGTCCCTGGTTTATATTACCCTGCTTCCTTGTGCCTTTTCTTCATAGCACCTGTCAGAAATTGGTAAATAAAAGGTGTTATCGTATGTAATGTTGGTCCCCTCCACTATACAGCCAATATCATCAAAAGCTTTGTCCCTGTCGCATACTCCCCCTCCTCAATAATAACTTCTTTGGGCCTTATCTCAGTGTCTGGTCATCAGGGAGACCTTCCCTGAATGCCCATGGCCCCAACCCCTACTCCCAGGCCAGGGTAGTTTCCTTGGTCGTGTCTCTTGTGAACCTGGGCACTGGTCCTTCAGTGTGCTTGTGTCAGTGTGTGATTGCACGTTCAGTAGTAGGGTTGTTTGACGAGAATATGATTCCTGTCTGTCTTACCACCTGTAGGCTCTAAGCCCCTTGTGGGTAGAAACAAGAGTTTTGGTCTGTGTTTTATAATTCACCTATATCCCTAGTGCCTAGTATATAACTGAGGTTCAAATATACATTCATTGAGTGAAAATGGGTGTCAGCCAGCCCTGGCCACAGTCAGGCGGAACCTGCTAGGTTGAGTGAAGTACATTGACTTGTTTCTCCCTGACTATGACACTATCTTTAAAACAGATGAAACCCACAAAAAAAAACAACATTTATTTTTTTTTAAGATTTTTATTTATTTATTTGACAGAGAGAGAGACAGCGAGAGAGGGAACACAAGCAGGGGGAGTGGGAGAGGGAGAAGCAGGCTCCCCGCTGAGCAGGGAGCCCGATGTGGGGCTCTATCCCAGGACCCCGGGATCATGACCTGAGCCAAAGGCAGATGCTTAATGAGCCACCCAGCTGCCCCAAAAACTTAACATTAAAAAAAATTTTTTTAATGAACACATACAGAAAACCACACAGAACAAATGTATGGGTTGATGAATTATTCCAGGGAAGTAACCTTGTAATTACCACCAAGTCAAGAAATAGAACCTTGCTAGCCACCAAGGAGCCCTGTGCACATGTCCCATCCCAGGTACCACAGCCTCCCCCCCCCCCCGCATAATTAGCCACCAGCCTGGCTGTTACAGTAATCACTTGTGGGGGTTTTGCAGCTTTATTATCCAGATGTATATCCTTAAACACAAGTTTAGTCTTGCCCACTTAAAAATTTTGGTAAGTTTTTGTGGGATTGATGAAGGGATTCTTCCTCCATCCTTTTCTTTGCCAGACATTTTATCTTTTGCACCCAGGGCTGTTCCACTGCAGAATTTCCCAGGCTGGCTTTTGCTGATTGCATACTCATGGTGCAGTTCAGCATCCTCCTCCTTCTCTGCGTTTCCTGCAAATTGGTGGCTGGATCTGGAGACTTCATCAGATCCAGGTTCATACCCCTTAGCAAGACTAGGAATCATGCTAATTCAGTTATCTCCTCATGAAAAGACTGTTAGCAATCACTGAAACATAATGCCCCAACATAATGCCCATTTATTGAGGAGTATAAAATCGTGATATTCTAATTTTATCACTTCTTTTTCATTTAATAGTTGGAATACTTTTGTAAAATGATATTTTCCCTCATCCATTATTGGTTCCTGTTCAGATACTTTACATAGGAATTTCAGGACAAGTGTTTCTTTCCCTCTGTTTACCAGTCTTCATTTAAAATGACTTGTTTCTCTGTCATCCTCCAAAATAAACCAGTTCTTTAAAAAAAAACAACATTATGAATGTATGGATTTAAGTATAGTGAATGCATTTCAGTGCCTTGCAATCATTACCGTAATTCTGGCACTACCATGAGGGCAGTCCTAGTGCCTGGGCTGCACATTGATCCTGCGGATGGCGGGGTGGGGGGGTGAGTAACAGGCCCAGGCCTGGGGACGGGGACTGTCCATGCCCTGTGCCCTGGTGGCATCATCCATGACCCCTCCCTGGATGGCTCTGGGGAAAGCCCCTCTTGGTAGGGCCCATTTCTGCCGCCTTCTCCCAGCTGGATCTCTGTCACTCTCTTCTTCCCAGGTTTGGTCGGAAGAACGTGCTCTTTGTGACCATGGGCATGCAGACGGGCTTCAGCTTTCTGCAGATCTTCTCGAAGAACTTTGAGATGTTTACTGTGCTGTTTGTCCTTGTGGGCATGGGCCAGATCTCCAACTACGTGGCAGCATTTGTCCTGGGTATGGCCCACAAGCTGGAGTTGAGTACTTGATCCTGTGTCTCATCATCAACCCGCCCTCCACTCTCTAGAGACGGCCGTGGTGTCCCTCAAGGGGAAGTGGGCATTCGCAGCACCAACCAGGGCTGTGTGGTGAACCCAGTTTGCCCAGCCTTGAGTCCCCGGGAGCACAACAGCCCGAGTTCCAGATCTTTTCTGGTCCCCTTAGTATTCAGTAGCCATTTTACTAGAATTCACCCAAGATCATCAATGAAAAAACGGGCTGAGGTTGCTAAGGAAAGATGAAGACATGCTATGAGGGGGGAGGGACCACGGATGGCAGGCTCATCAAGGAAGAAAGCTGCCTCTCCTGCAAAGCACTGTGTCCTCTGAAACCGGCCAGAATGAACTGACACGATCGGACTTGAGTCTCAAGACCTTAAGGGTTTTCATTCCGAGGACACACCGTGGGGCTTTGGCTTGTTCTCACTCAAGAGTCATCAGTCTCACTGTTTGGGGGAATCTCACTCTAGCTTATTGGTCTTTGGGTTCCTTGGGTTGTATGTTGAAAGGACTATTTCTTTCTCTTCACATCCAGTAGAATAATCTTTTTAAAAGAATATTTCCTTGAGCCCACGTGTATGTCCTTCATGCTGACTTCCCCTTTCATAAATAATTCCTCATGTGGGGATTACACTTTGAGGCCTCACGTGGCATCTTTAGCATATGGCTTGGGGCAGTGATGAAATTTGCAAGGCGGAACCGTCCCTGGGAAGCCTAAGAGGTCCCCGGGGGGGGGGGGCACCCCCAGCAGGTGTTCAGCCTGCAGCAGGTTCAGAATCCCATCCCTCCCTAGGGCGGGGCTGCTCCCTTTCCTGTATGTTGAGAATCATACAAGAGAAGATGAGTGAGGAAATGACCTAAACGAAAGGACTAATATGCCTCCTCCCTTGTTTCGAACAGGAACAGAAATTCTTGGCAAGCCGGTTCGTATTCTGTTCTCCACGTTAGGAGTGTGCATATTTTACGCGTTTGGCTACATGCTGCTGCCGCTGTTTGCTTACTTCATCCGAGATTGGCGGATGCTGCTGCTGGCGCTCACGGCGCCTGGGGTGCTGTGTGTGGCCCTCTGGTGGTGAGTGTCGCCTGCGCCCAGCCGCGCCCACCAGCAGGTGTCTTCTGTTCGGCCTTCACTAGGGGGCAGCAGCAAGCCGCAGAGCCCTACCCGGGCTTCCAGAGCCTGGAAGCAGAAATTCTTTGTAAGTCATTTCGGAACGCTTTCTCCACACTCAGAAGAGCCAAAAAGAAAACAGCACGAAATCCGCAGATATCAGCAGACTTGTTCTCAGGCCTCTGCTGGGCAGATCAACGTGCAGGGAGAGGAAGTAGTAGCTGAGAGCTGATGGGGTCTAGCCTGACCTTCAGGAATCTATGGGACAGACAAGACAGCTTAGGCCCTGGTTCTGGCTGTGTGTTCCTGAGGCCCCAGGCCACAGGTGCTGAGAGAAGACGGAGAGCACTGGAAGTGAGAGTCCTCTGGGTGGCTCCACAGAGGAAGCCAGGCTCATGGGCCTCCCAAGATAGAGGAGTTAGGCAGGCAGAGAGGGGGCCCTCCTTACCAAGAGAGGGAACACAGCAGAGAGGCTGAGGTGGGAATCACACCTTGCAGGTGGGGTTGTTGAGATCATGGCTCCCCTCAGAGCTGAGAGCATTTCAGAGCATAATGGGAGAGGACACAGAACACAGCATGGGGGCGGGGCGCCTGGGTGGCTCAGTCATTAAGCGTCTGCCTTCGGCTCAGGTCATGATCCCAGGGTCCTGGGATCGAGCCCCACGTCGGGCTCCCTGCTCCGCAGGAAGCCTGCTTCTCCCTCTCCCACTCCTCCTGCTTGTGTTCCCTCTTTCATTGTGTCTCTCTCTGTCAAATAAATAAATAAAATCTTAAAAAAAAAAAAAAAACACAGCATGGGTCCTGGTCATGACCAAAGGGCAGAGGCCTTTTGGTCATCTAGTGAGGGAGAAAATAAAGATCTACAAAGTCTCTAAGTCCCAGGGGCTTTGATAAACATAGGTAGGGGGTCTGACAAGTCACTTAGGTGGATCTGGGATCGGGAGTGAGGAAAAACTACAGGCTAAGAGGCCAGTGCAGCAGCTTCTGTGGATGCTGGGGCCAAGCAGGAGAGTACAGCGGGGCAAGGGAATGGGCTGGCCTGCAACCGCCGCAGAAGCCAGGCATCAAGAGCCCAGCTTGTGCCTGTCTCTTCAGTGTCCAGCAGGTGGCACCACCGCTCTTCAGAAATGGAGGTGGCCAGCCTGAAGAGGAATCCCAACCTGGTGTGCAGGCCCCTCTAAATTTTGCGCACTCCAGGGTACTCAGAAGCTCACACTTTGGATCATTAGTGGGTATGGTGTGAACCATCTCTTTGCTTGGTCTGGAAACACCAGACATTCCCAAACCCATGTCTGGTTCTAAAACCCCATTTCCCACCTCCACATAGGCTACACCTGGTCTGTTGGGCAGGATGGTCTCAGTGAGATGGCTCCTTGTACTTCCAGGTTCATCCCTGAGTCCCCCCGATGGCTCATCTCTCAGGGACGACTTAAAGAGGCAGAGGTGATCATCCGCAACGCTGCCAAAATGAACGGGATTGTTGCACCCTCAACTATCTTCGAGTCAAGTGAGGTAAGTGCTGCAAGGGAGCTGGTGGGAGGGTCTCAGTGACCATGATTTTAGGACAGCACCATGCAGGAGCCCAGCCCTCTCCCTGCCTGAGCCCCAGCTGCCCCTGAGCAGGCCCTGTTAAAATTCACAAGTTGGGGAGAAGGCACCAATTGTCTAAATCTCTTTCACCTTTCCCGTGGGTTTTAAGTTGTCATACTTTACGTAATTTTTTTTTAAGATTTTATTTATTTGAGAGAGAAAGAATGAGAGACAGAAAGCATGAGAGGGAGGAGGGTCGGAGGGAGAAGCATACTCCCTGCCGAGCAGGGAGCCCAATGCGGGACTCGATCCCGGGACTCCAGGATCGTGACCTGAGCTGAGGCAGTCGCTTAACCAACTGAGCCACCCAGGCGCCCTATGTAATGCTTTTCTAGGCAATCTTATTGTAGTTAAACAATTAATTTGAATAACACTCTTTCTGAGTAATAGGCCTTTTGTGAAGTTGGCATTGTGGGAAATCACTGTTTCTTATGTCTTATGTAGTTTCTTATCTAAAAGAAATATAGTACGTAAAATATGAAGCAGAAATAGATTTGGAGTTAGAAATGTTCAGTCTCCTTCCACTCACCAATCGTTAATCATTGCATATGCTCTTGGAGCCAGGTCCTTCTTGATATCTGCCCCTTCCCCCACCCCACCCCTCTTGCAAACCCTGTTCTCATGCACAATGAGTAATTTCCTGGCTCTGCCTGATTCCTGGGTCTCGCTTCTCCTTCCTGTTCCCGCTCCCTCCTCCCTCTACAGCAGGCAGTTTTCCTTAGTCTCCTGACTACCACAGGAGGTTAGAAATTGTAATTGCTGGCTGAAGGGCCTTTGGAATGTGTCTCTGATCTGATGGGAAGACAAGGAACCGGCTGTGAGAACGGCCACCAGCCGTTGTACTGAAGTGTGTGTGCAGAAGGAACGTGAGAGACACTTGGGATTCGGGATGCAGACCCAGGGCTTAGGAGAGGGAGCCCGGTTACTAGAGGCATCAGAGAATCTGTGGCTTGGGCCCTGCTGGCCTCACAGTTAAGTGCTGGCTTGGCAACGGCTCCCACTCAGCATGTCCTGGAAGGGGCTTTAAAGCACAGACATCAGGGTGAGGAGGAGGTAGCAGGGAGGGCTTTTAAGTGTGGTGGCCGTGGTGGCTTTTCAGTGGGGGGTCAGTCTGGGTGAACCCAGAACCCCACTGGCGTCTTTGAGGAAATGAGGCTATTTCAGGGGCTCCATTAAGTCAAAAGTTGACCTCTTGTTGAACTGCTAACTCGAGAAAAACAAACTCCAAAGCTGGGTTTGCTTAAGAAAGCAACATCAGTGTGTTTAGACGTGTGGTTTATTAATGTTCTTGGCTGTGCCAAATTTCATAGGAAGTTACTCTGGGTGAAGCTGAGGTCAATTTTCCTGTTTTTCTATCTGAAATTTTTTTCCTTGGAAGTAGACCAGTAACTACATGGTATGAGGACTCAAAACATTAATTCTTTTAAAATATCAGATCAATAAACTACACAGCCAGTTTCTCTCTCTGACCCAGAGGGCGGGGAGCCAGCCTTGGGAAGGAATGCTCAGAGGCCTCCCTGGAATGTGGCCACTGATGGAGGCTGGAGGTGGGGCCGAGAGGGAGCTGTTGGCTTGGGCCTCCGCCTTGGCTGCCTCCCCTGAGGGACTGGTCACCTACTTTTCCTCCTTATTCTCGTTCACTAATGGGTCATTGACACGTCCTGGGGAAGCCTTCCGCAGCTCAAAATATACTCACCGTACTTACTCTTCTTTTCAAGAAAGAAACAAAACACTCGGCAACTCGGAGATGCAGGGTTTCGGGTATATTATTGGGTCCCCGGGTCTCCAGACTCTCCCTCCCATGTCCTTGTTCGTGCAGCTGCAAGACCTGAGTTCCGAGAAGCAGCCGTCCCACAGCATTCTGGATCTGCTTCGAACCCGGAATATCCGAATGGTCACCATCATGTCCATAATTCTGTGGTGCGTAAGTGAGACCTACCTGAAGCTTCCAGACAAAGCCTCTGGCAGTGACTGCCAGGCCTCTCCTTTGCAGATGTGTCTCAGACCAAAACTGAGAGCCTGTGTCATCAAAAAGTAGAAAGGATCTTCCTTACAATGAAAGAAGTGGGCATAGCATAATCTGAGCTTGATGGAATCTCAGAAAAGGAGTATGAAATCTGTTGGATTTGGGGGAAGCTATGGAGTCTTTGGGGAATCCTTCCAGGTCCTGAGGCAGATCCTTGGTCACTGTGGGCCCTAGTTTGTTTCTGTCCTCTGTTCCTCAGACAGTGACTGAAGAAGACAGGGAGGCCTTTAAGAAGGATCTAAGTGAAGCCATTATGTCCTTTCCATTACAGAGGCTGCTAAGTACTGTCTGGAAATGTGGCAGCAGGACATCCTCCCTCTGGGATGTTCAGAGACTGTCCTGGAGGCAGGGCCATGGCCTAGATGTCCTCCTCAGGCTCCTTCTTATGAGGCATTTTGCCAAGTGTGTCAAGAGGGCACTTGTGAGGTACCAGAGAGAGGGGACAGAGCCTAGTGCCTCAGTAGCATTTCCTCAGTGGCCAGACCTGGGGATTCTTATGAGAATACCTGAGCCTGCTGGGTGACAAAAGCAGACTTCATCTCCGAGTGCTTATTACTAGAGTCATCCAGCTTTGGGGCAGCCAGCTCTTTGGCTCACTGGGGGGTACTGTGAGTCACCCATTTCCAAGGAATGGCCCAGGATCCCTCAGGGTAGTGCACCACCCTTGCGTTGCCCTCAGACAGGACCAGTATTCAGCCTGCACCACAGACTGTCAAGCCTGCGATGAGTCACCTGTTCTGTGGTTCACCCAGGTGTTCCTCTAGCTCTGGATTCCCCAGGGACTCCTGGACATTCCCTTTCCCCTGATGGTGCCAGCTGTGGTTTCAATGTGCAGATAAGCTCAGAGCCTTCTAATCCGTCAAGGTGTGGTTTGCCAAAGAGGGTTGGTCATCAGCAGAGAGAGTGCCTGCTAGGGTCAGGGTCCAGGCCTGGGACGCCGGCAAGCATGCAGATGAGAGATGACGTGTCCCCACCATTGGGAGCCCCTCCTCTTCACGAGTACAGTGGGGTTGGGGTCCAGCGCCTCTGTCCAGCCGCCTCCTGGCTGGTTGCCACAGACCGAAGGTCTGCTGGGGGGTCTTTCTCCAAATGTTTGACCTAATGATTGTTCCTTACTTCATCCTAACCCTGCAGTCCTGTCACACCCCACTCAATACCAGCCTCCGCACTCATTCCCTCCCTCCTTCTGCAGTTGCTGGATTTGGGGAGGGTCAGAGGGTAGGGAAATAGCTTTTGTAGGTGCGCTTCAGTTAGGGTTTTTAAAGCCAAAAGGCAGATTGGAAGCTGTTATTGGGCTTGTGGGGCAGTTTTCAACAAAGTAAATCTGTCTGAACGATATAAGCCTTTTTGCTGGGACACTGTGTTGGGAATGCTCCGATATTGCTCTGGCCCAGAGTTAACATGGGGTTGGGAGGAAATTCTCTCTTGTCCTAAGAAGACTCGAGGTTAAATCTGCTGTCCTCCTGGTAAGGATAGTTTTGAATTTCCTGCAGTAATTGTATTTTGATGGTTGTTTGGGTTGGGAGGCACGGGGCTGCCGCTTCTCCAGCTTCTTCCTGTGCTCTCTTTCAGGATAACCATATCAGTGGGCTATTTCGGGCTCTCCCTCGACACTCCAAACTTGCACGGGGACGTCTACGTGAACTGCTTCCTTTTGGCAGTGGTTGAAGTCCCTGCGTACTTGCTGGCCTGGCTGCTGCTGCAGCACCTGCCCCGGCGCTATTCCATGGCCACGGCCCTCTTCCTGGGCGGCAGCGTTCTCCTCTCCGTGCAGCTGGTGCCCCCAGGTAGGCACGCTGTGCGCCTGCGGCCTGGGGCTTTCACGAGCCCCTCATCCTCTACCAGGCCGTCTCCCCCAATTCATAAAGAAAATAAAATCATGCTATGACACCTCACTTGCATATCTGCATCCTTCACCCCAAAGAAATATAAATAAATAAAATAATCGAGAGAAAGTGTCTCCTGGAACCAGACACTGGTCATGGCCGGGGCTTTGGGGGAGTGGTGAGAGCAACCATCTAGGGCTGGTGGCTAATGTTACTCTCTGCCCAAGTTAATGAGTGTGTCCGTGTTTTTCTCTGCAGGGTAAGAGGGAGGAAAGAGAGCCAAACCCATGGCATTTTAACCTGGACCTATTTTAGTCATTTATATATTCAGCGAGTAGCTCCAGAGTGCCTCTCTGGGCTAGGCACTGTGTGCTTGGGGCATGAAGTAATGACACAAAGTAAACAAGTTGGGCAGAACCCCAGGCCCTCCTGGAGCTCACACTCTAGTTGAGAAGACAACAGACAAGTATATAAAATGCTTAATATGGTGCAGACTGGGTCACCTTTTATCATACCAATAAAGGAAGTTTATATAGAGTGGTCACGGACAGTGGCCCAGAAGAGAGGGGAGCAGAAACATAGATGAAATAAGGGGGAAAGCCACGAAAGGTCTCCAAGTAGAACGTTTCAGGCCGAAGAAAACAGCAGAAGCAGAGAGCCTGAGGGGAGGGCATACCCCTGGCGTGTCTGAGGAGGAAGAGGGAGCAGGAAGAGATGAAGGAAGGGAGAAGGGAGGGGCTGGGAACAGTGTGGTTCTCACGGGCCACAGATGGGTGGGAGGTGGCCCTTTTCCACAATTCATAGGACAGCTGGTGGACCCTCCTATTCCATTATGGTACCCAGAGCTGTCATACACATGAGTTTGGGGGTGATCGTGTGTGAGCCCCTGAGCCTGACAGCACTGTGCCCGGGAACAGCCCCCCCTGCAGCCTGGCAGGGGAGTCCATCAGGGTACACACAGGTTTACCCCAGAGCAGGGCAGCTCGGAGGATCGTTCCTGGGGTCTGCTGGCCTATGAATGGTTGAGGTCTGAGTAGAGGGAAACTCCCATTCATCCACAGGTCCTTCATTAATTCCACAGTGCGTGCAGAGTGCGGTTCTGGGGTGCCACCCAACCCCTTGACAGGCATGTCTTTGATGACTTGGGGCCTGGAGCAGCTTTACTTGGGCTGTTGAGGGCTCACCTTGGTGGTCTGTAGGCTGAGGAGAAGGACGTGTCCTCACATAGCTGTGGGTCCCAGCCTCCTCTCGGTAATCAACTTGGAGGGACATCTTGGCTACAGCCACTTATCCCACAGTAGGACGTCAGAGGAACTGTCCCCCACATCCCAGAAAGGAGGAAGTATGTTTGCTTCGGGCACCCCCTGGTAGCCGCGTAGCGTGAGCTGGTGCCTTTCACTGTCTTCCCTTTTCCTCTCCAGGTTTGTATTACTTGGCCACCGTCCTGGTGATGGTGGGCAAGTTTGGAGTCACTGCTGCCTTTTCCATGGTGTACGTGTACACGGCTGAGCTGTACCCCACCGTGGTGAGAAACATGGGCGTGGGGGTCAGCTCCACCGCGTCCCGCCTGGGCAGCATCCTGTCTCCCTACTTCGTTTACCTCGGTGAGTGCTGGGGGCTGAGGGCACGTGGGAGGGTGGGGTGCAAGCACTGAAGGCCCTTACTGTGAGCCATGGGGGGCCGTTAACAGCAAAGCTGGCACCCACAGCAAACGGGATCCGTCCAGGACCAGACCTGTGCCTGGAGAGGCATGTGTCCAGGCACACTGTGGAGGATGCACTCACTTGTATGTGGAAAACGACTTATAGACTAGCTGGAAATCGATGAGATGAGCAAGCAGAGGGTTGTGTTTCTGTTTTAGCCATCCCAGGCCTTCCATCAGAGGATTTTGGTTTCTTTACCCTAAGAAACTGCATGGTGGTATCGGGAACCCATGTACTCAATTGGAGAAATTTCTTCTTGGAATCAGAGTATAAAAGGAACACGGAAGGAAAGATGGCCATTCAAGAGGTCTGATGGGCTGAGGATTATTGTCATTTGGAGCACTTTGGTTTTATACTGTGTATAAATCTACCTTGTGCCATTTTTTTTGAAGATTGTATTTATTTATTTATTTATTTACTTATTAGAGAGTGAGAAGGGGTGAGAGTGCAAAGCAGGGGGAGTGGCAGGGAAAGGGAGAAGCAGACTCCCCGCTGAGCAGGGAGCCCGATGCGGGGCTCGATCCCAGGACCCTGAGATCATGACCTGAGCCGAAGGCAGACGCTTAACAACTGAGCCACCCAGGAGCCCCTGCCTTGTGCCATTTTTATTCTTACTTGAAATTGTTTCCTCATGGCAGCTGCTGTTCCTGCCATGTCCCTTGCCAGCACATCTTTGGGGTGGGTTGGCAGCCACCTTGAGAGTCCTCAGAATGTGTTGTGAACACATTACATGGATCTGACAAGCAGAAACACCATATCTAGCCTAAAGGCAAACCGAGCAAGTTGTGACCCAGCTGGAGAGGTGGGGGAGTTATTCCTGTCCCTGGATGAGAACATTGAGTTCCATGGAAACCCAGCATTGGGAAATAGGAATAGTAATCACGGCTCAGCCCCATCCCCCCGATCTGCACCCCTTCACTGCACCGTGAGGCGCCTCTGGACCTCTGGGCACTTCTGTGCCAGGTCTGTTCTGAGACCTGTCCCGGTGCCAGAGTCCAGTCTGGCAGCTCGGACTGTGGGAGAGGCCGAGGCCTAGGAGGCACGCGGTCTCTTTAGAGTCCTGGGAGCACGGAGGGAGGGAGGGAGGGAGACCAAGTCTGACCGCATCCCTGGCGGGGTGGTTCTGTCTGCTTTGCCATAGGTGCCTACGACCGCTTCCTGCCCTACATTCTCATGGGGAGTCTGACCATCCTGACAGCCATTCTCACCTTGTTCCTCCCAGAGAGCTTCGGCACTCCCCTCCCGGACACCATTGACCAGATGCTGAGGGTCAAAGGGTAAGGTCGCTCTGGGTCGCATTGTTGATGCACGGGGTCCAGGCCTGGCTGAGGATCCACCACAAACTCACAGACATCGGTCAGGAATGGCAAGGTGCTTACAGACTGTCTGGTCTGACGCAGGCCACCGTGTCAGGGTGAACCTCTCAACCACTACACCAGCTCTCAGGCAGGAGAGACCAGGAGAAGCCTTTCAGAATCTGCTCCAAGGTGTTTTTTCCCCTTAGTGAGATAACCTCCAGTCTGGGTTTTGTGTGTCTGTTTAGAGACTGGTAGACATCTTTTTAAAGATTTGTTACTAACATTGGTTTTGCTTGTTTTTATAGAATAAAATACAGGCAAACTCCAGGCCACACAAGGATGTTAAAAGACGGCGAAGAAAGCTCCACAGTCCTTAAAAGCACAGCCTTATAACACAACCTCCAGTGGGTGAGGTGAGGAGGGAAGACTGTCCTGTCAGAAGCACTTGTGTAGACACTGAGTCCTTCAGCGGGGGTGGGGGGGTGGGGGTCCCTGCTGTTCATCATGTTGCCCCTTTGTCTGACTTGCTCCTGGCTGGACAGCCGGACTCGGGCCACCTGTACTCCTGGCACACAACCTTCCCTCCAGACCGACAACCGGAGATACGCCCTGACGTACGGACTTGGTGGATGGTGGATGGGCGCTTCCTAAGAAGTTAACTGTTCACCAGGACCTGTGGGGCCTGGAAGAATAGGAGAGGCACCTGCTAAACTTACATGTTAATTTCAGACCTCCTGAGAAGACTGGAGGTCTCAGCTCCCTGCCTAACCTTCTCCCCGTTTCCCTCTCATGGTGCACTTTAGAGGAAAACACAGAATCGCACAGGGAGTTTGATTTCTCACACTTTCTTAGTCACAGGGCACATTAACTGGGATTGTTGCTTCCCCAGGCAGGAGAGCACAGATCTGCGGAAACCTAAACGTAATTACTGTGGAGGGAACCGAGCAGGTTCAGAACAAGGGCAAGTGCACTGATTTGTGAGCACTTAGACCACTCAGTGTGAATACTGGGTAGACTTGTTTACATCTGATCCAAGCACTGGGCTTGTTCAGGCCCATACAGATGCATCACTGAGTCTCCTCGTTTTCCACCGTGGTGTAAATCCCATCGTCTAGCTACTGTGGTTTCTGATGTATGGCTCAAAGGAAGTCTGTCAGTGAGAAAGAGAGACAAGCAAACTCATCTCTTCTCTCAAAACTATAACGTAGAATTTATTGTGTTTTGTTTGTTTGTTGTTATGTCTTTTTCTGCTTAAGTTATTTGCCCTTCAGAATAGATTTAGGAAGGGCTTCCCAGCCTCCTGGTCTGTGTCTTTGTGTTTTTGTGTTTTTCAACCCAGGATCCCTCTGGCGAAGGTGTGCAGTTGCTGTTCGTGCAAGGCCTTATCAGCCTTAGCCACTAGCACCTTCTCTGAGTGCCAACAATGCCGTCATTGTCTGTGCTTCTTTTGTGATACCTAATCATGGGAAAAAATTACAGAGAAGAAAGTCAAATTGTGTTCACAGTCTTTCAGCGTTGCTCACTTCAGTCGTGTCACATTGGGAGATATTTTGTGTTCGGTGTAACTGTCTTTTATGATTATGTTACCATGGTACTCCTAAAGCATATGCCTCACCAGGATAAAAACCGTATTTTGTGAAAGCTCCTGAAGTGCCTTGGGAAATGAAGATGTTTTAATAAATAAAATGATTTTTTAAATAATAGCAACTGCCTACCACCTTTATTTCCACAATTTGGTGAGTCAGGCCACACCATCGCCTGTCTTTGGTCTGTGTCAGCTTGGGCTAATTTTAGCTGTGATTGGTGCTTAGTGCCTAAGGCTCAGATTTAATCCCCGTGTACTAGAAACCTTCACTCTGTGAATCGACTATGGACAGAGCCAGCCTTCTTACACAAGTGTCTTAGCCTGGGTTCCCCCGAAAGCAGGGCCTCAGGCCAGCGCTTCCGTGCGGGTAGGTAGTATATTTGGGAACAGGATTCCAGGGAGCAGGAATAAGGATGTGGGGAGGGACAAGGAGAGAGGGAGACCCAACCCAAGGATGCGCTATCAGTGCTATGGGCACTGCTCCAGCCAGCCAGAACCTCCGAGGAGCCTTATGAAATGTATCTCAAAACTGATCTGCCTCATGGGTAAAAGGGGGAAGCATTTATATGTTGCCCCCCCTTCCCCATCCATCAAAGGCAGCCCCACAGGAGTCTGTGCTCCACTTTTCCAGGTTGCCCCTGTGTGAGTTCCGAGCCAGGTCTTCCCTCTGGGTAGAAAGCAGGAGGTGCTCTATTGCAGACCCGAGGTGAGGCACTGTCAGGTTGCACATCAGGGAACATGGTCAAAGCTTGTGTGAACTGGGTCACTGCAGCCGTGGCTGGAGTAAGCGGTGGGACTGGGAAGACTGTGGTTTGGACACAGTCCGCAATAGATGTATATATGAAATGTGCCACAGGGCGATTTGAGCTAGAATGTACGGATGGACCCGGGTAAAAAGCTCCAGTGTTGGACAGATAAGTCAAAAGGCCTGTTGCATAATATAACACGCAGCATCAAACTCAGGTGGGAAGGAAGGAAGCTCATCTTCTGTAACCCTGTTGGCTTCTCCACTCTCCTCAAACCTGGTTCTGTGCCAGGTTCCTGATTAACTGCCTTCAAGGTGACTCCAGAATATAAATTACCATCCTGCCTGCCCTTTCTCCTGTTGCATGAATGAACAGTTTCTGAGTTTCTCTCTTATTCTCAGTGCTACTGATGCCAATCATTTGTGGCCTTCTGGGGGCCAAAATCATAATTACCTGAATGCTGAGAGCTCTTCTTTTGGCAAGGCAATAGCCCATGTCACTGCTTCTGGGGCTGAGCCAAGTACCTGAAAACCCATGCCCTCTGTCTGGACCTGCTGGGTCTGTTTCTATCAGAGCCATGGCTTTGGGAAGACTAACCAAGTTATCCTGACCAGGGATCTCCTCTCAGGGCTAGAGGGATGGGTGCATAACCTGTAGTCAAAGGGGTCACTTGTGCTCAGTTGATACCCATCAGAATTAGAAACCAGGCTACCCACAGAAATACAAAGGGCAAAGCAAATGAAATGAAGGAACAATTCAGATTTAAAAAATATTCAGTGTTCTGCCACAGATAAAGATGAAAGCAAGAGTATACCCTATGATCTTTTCCTTTTCCTGGCAACTAGTTCCCCTCTCCCTCAGAGTTCCCTGAACAGTCTCATGAATTCCAGAAGGGCTGGTGTTTGCCAAAGAGAATTATTCTACTTAACACCTAGTTTAAGTGATGGTGAATGAGTTGGGCGGAGGGCCCTGTTTTCTGTCAAGTAGTAAGTCGCCCAACAAATCTTTCCCCTGGGTGTTTTATCATCTAATTGCTTTTCCTAAAGGGCTTTTAGGCTGACAGAGGCTGGTCGCAGCACAACATTAGCAATACCTTATGTTGTGTGTGCGATTGCTATACAACTAATTTGGAAAAATACAGGCCTATCTTGTTTCATTGCACTTCAATTTGTTGTGCTTTTTACCAATTGAAGGTTCATGATGTTAGCGGAGGAAGTCATGGAGGATGTGGTGCAAAGAGCAAGAGAACTAGAATTAGGCGTGGAACCAAAAGGTGTGACTCAATTGCTCCCAACTCGTGGTAGAACTTGAATGGATGAGGAGCTGCTTCCTGTGGATGAGTAGACAACGTGGTATCTCGAGACGGAAGCTACTCCTGGTGGAGAGGCTGTGACAATTGTTGAAATGACAACAAAAGGATTTAGAATACAATTTAAACTTAGTTGATTAAGCAGCAGCAGGGTTTGAGAGGATTGACTCCAATTTCAAAAGAAGTTCTACTGTGGGTGAAATGATATCAAATAGCATCACATGCTACAGAGAGAGCGTATGGGAAGGAGGAGGCATTCAATGCGGCAGACTTCATTGTTGTCCTATTTTAAGAAATTGCCACAGTCCCCCAGCCTACGGCAACCTCCCCACTGATCAACATCTGTCATCAACAGCAAAAAGATCGCCACTGGCTGAAAGCTCAAAGGATGTTTAGCATTTTTTAGTGACAAAGTATTTTTAAATTAAGGTGTATACGTTGGTTTTTTTACATATAATTCTATTGCACACTTAATAGACTATAGTGTAAACATAACTTTTTTAAAAGATTTTATTTATTTATTTGACAGAGAGAGATAAGAGAGAGTACAAGCAGGGGGAGTGGCAGGTAGAGGGAGAAGCAGACTCCCTCCCGAGCAGGGAGCCCGATGTGGGGCTCGATCCCAGGACCCTGGGATGATGACCTGAGCCGAAGGCAGATGCTTAACCAACTGAGCCACCCAGGTGCCCCTAAACATAACTTTTATATGCACCAAGAAACCAAAGAGTTCATTTGACTTGCTTTTTTTTGTGATATTTGCCTTATTGCAGGGGTCTGGACTGAACCTGCGGTATCTCCAATGTATGCCTATTCCCCTGTTTGCTCGTTTGATCCTTATACAAATCCTATGAGATCGATAAACGATGCCCAGGATGACAAAGTCAGAGGTTCCTCAGCAGAAGGCACATGTCTTCCTGGAGTCTCAGATGGACCCACCCTGGAAGGTCTCACCTTGGGAGGAAGGGGCTTAACTCAAGAACGGTTGTGCAAGAAGTTGCCAGAGACACTGGAACATCATCTTTCTGATGGGCCAGCCAGGGGGCAGCAGTCAGGCACCTGACGAGTTTTTACCTCAGAAGAAGTCTCACAGGAGAAACTCTTCTCATGACTGTGTAGAGGTGTGGGCATAGACGGTACACATCAAGGACATGGTGCTAAGTGCATGCAGGAATATGAGTATTTCACAGAGCCAGGCTCCTGAGGAGATCTGAAATATTTAATTATCATGTAACCTTCAATCCCTTTTGAAAATTCCAAATGTCCTCATAGAATGACGCTCCCTTACACCAATCAAATGAATATTAAAAACGTACAAACCTATAAAATGTTTTCACCAACATTAATCAAACAAGCAAGCAGCATGATGTAAAACATACACTTTAAAAATTGGTGAGGGGCGCCTGGGTGGCTCAGTTGTTAAGCATCTGCCTTCAGCTCAGGTCATCTGGGATCGAGTCCCGCATCGGGCTTCTTGCTCAGCAGGGAGTCTGTTTCTCCATCTACCTGCCGCTCCCCCTGCTTGTGCTCACACACTCTCTCTCTCTCCCCCTCTTTCTCTCTGTCAAATAAATAAAATCTTGAAAAAATTAAAAATAAAAATTGGTGAAAGAGAAGATCCTAACACTGTATTTAGAATATTCTATGTACATTCTAGCAATGTAATACCACCTAATAACCCCTAAACTCCTTAGCCATAATAAAAAGTCATCAACATCTGGAACAATCTCCCCAATACTCCCAAATCTGGGTGACAGCAAACTAGATGAAGGCCTCTATTTACTTACCTCTTCAAAGATTTTTGGAAACTACTATAGAAAATAAATACATGAAATGGAGAAAATGGACAATGGGGCCAATCACTGAAAGAAGCGAGACCTGTCCTATAAGAAATGTTCAAGAGAGTCCTTCAGGCTGAAATGAAAGGATCCTAGACAGCAACCCAACTTCACATGAAGAAATAAAGCACATGGATAAGGGGAACAACCTAAATAAATATAAAAGAGAATTAATGAAAGTGAGGAAATTACTGCCAACTTTACAGAAATAATAAGGATCATAAGAGAACACTATAAACAATTGTGTGCCGACAAATTAGACAACCTAGAAGATACTAGACAAATTCCTAGAAACACAACAATTACCAAAACTGACTCAGGAAGAAACAGAAAATCAGAACAGACTTAAGTAGAGAGATTGAATTAATAATCAAAAACCTCCCAAAAAAGAATAGCCCAGAACCAGATGAGTACACTGGTGAATTCTACCAAACATTTAAAGAAGAATTAATACCAGTCCATCTAAATTCTTTACACAAATAAAAGAGGAGAAAACACTTCCTGACTCATTCTGTGAGGCCAGCATTACCCTGAGACCAAATCCAGACAAAGACATCAAAAGGGAACCATAGATCAATATCCCTTATGAACGTAGATGTGAAATATTCCATAAAATACTAGCAACCCAAATCCAGCAGCATACTAAGAGGATTATATGTTGTGACCTAGCAGGATTTATCCCAGGAACACAAATGTAGTTCAGTTTGAAAATATTAATAATGTAATACAACACATGAACTGAATGAGTTTAAATAAAGATTCTATCAACTGATGCAGAAAATCATTTGACAATATTCAACACACTCTCATGATAAAAAACATTCAGTGAACTAGAAATAGAAGGGAACTTCCTCAACATGATAAATGACATCTATGAAAACACCACAGCTAACATTATAATCAATGTTGAAACTGAAACTCACTCCCTAAGATCAGTAACAAGACAAGGATACCACTTGCCACTTCTGGGACTATGCTGGAAGTTCTGGCCATAGCAATTAGGCAAGAAAAAGAAATAAAAGGTATCCAAGTTGAGAATTAAGAAGTAAAGTTACAGCAATCAAAACAGTTACAGTACTGGCAGAATGACAGATAAAAAGATCAATGAAAGAGAATAGAGTCCAGAAGTAAACATTCACAGATATGGTCAAAGAAGGTGATTTTCAAAAATGGTGCCAAGACCATTCAAGGGGAAACGACAGTCTTTTCATCAAATGAGGCTTGGAAAACTGGATGTCCACATGCAAAATAATGAAGTTGGACTCTTATACCATATGCAAAAATTAACTCAAAATAGATAAAAAACTAAACATAAGAGCTAAAATCCTAATACTTTTTAGAAGAAAACAGAAGGGAGAAAGTTTCATTGGATTTAGCAGTCATTTCTTGGATATGACACCAAAAGCACAAGCAAAAAAAGAAATAAAAAATGGATTTCATCAAAATTTAAAACTTTTATTATATGTCAATTATATCTCAATAAAGCTGGGGGAAAATGAAAAACTTTTGTGCATCAAAGGACACTATTGAGAGTGAAGAGGTAACCCAGAGAATGGGAGAAATCATATATCTACTAAGGTGTTAATATCCAAAATATATAAAGAATTCCTACAGCCCAACAATGTAAAAAAAAAATGGGCAAAGGACTTAAGTAGACTCTATAGTAGCTCTATAACTTTACACAAGTCACTTAATCTTTCTGAGACTCAGTTTCCTCATCTATAAAATAAATCACATATCTCACTGGGGTATTAAAGATTTTATTTTTTAAGTAATCTCTACACCCAGAGTGGAGCTCAAACACACAATCCCAAGATCAAGAGTCACACACGCCACTGACTGAGCCAGCCAGGCACCCTTCAATGGGGTTTTAAAAGGATGAAGTTAGCATGTAAAGTCCTTAACAGTACCAAATTTGTGTTGACAATAATATTGCTATCCCTCCGGACCTCCCTAAGGCAATTATTAACTCTACAAATAATTAGTCCTTATTATGTTCTGTTTGGTTCCATCAGGGAAATTATAGCTACATTTGGGAGAAATCTTTTTACTCATTCATCCCTTAATGAAAGCTAGAGCCCTCAGGAAAACATCCTTCATGATGCCCACACATGCTCCTTTCTCTTTTTAGTCCAAGCAGGCTAATGGGATCTAGACTTCTTGTAAACTCACCTACTGTCAGCCTCCACATTTCACAGGGAGATGGGTATGGGCTGTCTGGGGTCTGCAACTAGTGAAAGAAATGTTGTTTGACTTATGAGAGAGGTCAGTATTCAAATAGTAGTCATGATGTATGTCCAAGCCTGATTTAGGAGGATGAACCACTGTTGGACTTGAACATATCTGCCCTCTCAGGGGTGATTCACTCGGACAGGCTCCTGGGGACTGCAATCTTCATGACAGGGCCATCCTCTGCCAGCCTCTCAAAGGACACCTTGCTCAGGTAGACACACATCAAAGCAAGAGTGCCTTTTGGAGTACTAGCTTCTTTCCACCACAGAAAGACAGATTTCCATCTGTGTTGCCAAATATGTAAGTCTTTTCCTTCAGGAACACTTATGAGAGACTACTCCTTTTCACAGGAAACCAAGGCCACCCAAAGCAAAATTACTTTTCTTTGTTCAAGAACAATTGCTCACTCATTTTCTATTTGTTTACTTTTTCTTCCTCCTTAAGAAAGTTAAAGGATATTTTTGCTATTGGTAGGTTGTATTTTTCTAGAGGCAAAGAGTTTTAGTTTTGAGTTCTAAACTGAGGTTTGGAGATTGTCCATGGAACAAACACTTTACAAAGAAGACCAGGCCCTAGCTCACACAGAGGACATAGTTGATAGTTTAGCAGTAAAGCACAAACACATCTTATGAGCGGGAAAGTGGACATGAGATTCCCTGCCCACCTGACACCTCACCCAAAATGTGTAGAATCAAAGCGCGGCAAAGTGTGATCCTCTCCCAAAATTCTCCAGCTCACTGAAGGGCAGTACTGTGTCAGTTCGGGTCCTCTTTAAGCATATGCCAAGATGGAATTCAACATGCAAGAGCTTCTTGAGGAAAATGCTCATGAAGGGTAAAGGGGAGAAGGAGCTAGAATAGGCAGAGAGAGACTCAGATCATAACGCATGTCGGTCCCCTCTGGAAAGGGAGAGGGAAGGGAAGAGAACTGGGCAGGAAGAGCTTCAGACTGCAGATTAGTTCTGAGAAATTGTTGACCACACTGATGGGAAGCTTCACAGTACTGATTGCCTGTTAGACGAGTCCCAGCTTAGGCAGAAATAGCCTGGCTCTGGTACCCCCACCGAGTTCATTCATTGTCTGGGAGCAGCCAGAGAGTGTACAGCCTTGTCCATATGCTGCAGCAAATCTAAAGGGGCAGCAGCTGGTGGCTCTCAGCTCTGTTCTCTGTAGAAGATTCTCTTGAAGAGTGATCTGAGTTGCTATACGTCTGCCACAATCGTTCATCCAATTATGCAATCTGGGAGTCATGCCTGATATCTTCTTTTCCTTTATCTTTAAGACCCAGTCTACTGGCAAGATCCTAACCATTTCACCTCCTAAATATCTCTCACATCTGTCTGTTTTTCTTATCTCCTCCACCACTACCACCATCATCTTTCTCCTGATGACCATCTTTCCATCTATTCACCACACAACATGTAGGAGCAGCCTTTTTATCTTTAAAAAAAATTTTTTTTTAAAGATTTTGTTTTTAAGTTATCTCTACACCTGACGTGGGTCTCAAACTTAT